GCTTGTTTAAAACTTGTTTATTGGGAAGAGGTCATAAGCTGAGCACTGCTCAGAATAGGTCAGGCATCTGATTAAGGGTTGAATAAACTGAAAGGCTTCACATGAATCTCCAAGACAGAAGCTTGATGAGGAGAGAGAGCTTGTCTTAGAAAAACATTGCCAACCACCCAACATCGCAGGCAGGCAACAGACTGCAGTCCTGCTTAAAGGAGCAGGAAGATCAAACAGTTCTGCTTGTGGGCATTAACAAATAGTAGTGTTCTTCTGTACCTCAGGACAGACTCTAGCTGGAAGAAAGCCCCTCTGTAAAAGGAATGTAGTAAGAAATCCTGCCAGCCTCAGAGAACTGATAGTCAAAACAAATGGGAGAAAAAAGAACATCTGGAAATGATGTGCAAAGGAGAAGGAAAAAAATAATAAATTAGCTGTTTGTCCCAGGTCTCGTATCACCCAAGTGAGAAAGAAGAGAGCAGCATTTATGTCTCCTGAGACCCAGCCCAGTGCTCCCCCAAAAGGCCTTCCTTCAACTTCTGTGCTTTTCACAGTATGTGGGGAAAAGGAAAAGCAATTCGGAGGGTTTGGTGTGTCACATGTTGCTGCTGTTGCTGTTACACAGCTCCAATGTGATCGTTTGAGCTGTGCTTACTAAACCCTTAGAAGCTGCAGCCTAAAGTCTAGTGAAGATAACAGGCTGATCTCATTACTGCTGAACTGGAGCTGTAGTGCGCTCCAAAGGAACAAGATAAACAGCAATACACTTCCTTCTCCTCTCCTTCCCATTTCTCCCTCCAACTTCATCATGAAGCTATGACAGAGAGCAGCCTGAAATGGAAAACTTTTGTGTTTCCTCTGTCTTTTCCCAGTCAAGAACTGCCACATCATGCCAGGCAGGCTTAGAGTTATTTGCATCTGGGATGGAATAGCCAAACCCAGTTCACAGCCTCCTTGTTGTAAACTCTGAAATACCTGATAGTTGGAAAAAGAAATATCTGCCAGTAAGAAAATGCTTAGGAAAAAGAGTGGGGAGGCATGAAATAGAATGTGAGAAGCTTTCTGATGGGCAGGAATCTCCACTAAAAAAAAAAAAAAAAGAAAGTGGGATTGATTTTTCAGGAATGATTTCCTAATCAACAGCTGTATAGAGAAGGAGTGGCCAAATTTATCAAGGACAAGCACTTGGTCCTTGATCGGCAACAGATCCCCAGCTCTTGAGCATTCTAAGTCTCATCACTGACAGCAGCTGACCCCAGCATCATGTACAGTGTCGCAATGCCAGGGTAATTATTGAGTCAGCAAAGATCTTACAGGAGCTCTGACCCTTAATTTCTCAAGGTTTTCTCATTCTTCAGAGCATTAAGTCCCTCTAACCTATACAGCACCAGATCAATCTCACAAATCGTTAATTCCAGGCAGGCTTTTGCTAAGAGTTCCCTGGAGCGTAAGGTGCGTCCATTCCTCAGACAGTACAAAATCCTCCCCTGCACCAACCTGACCACTCCAGGGCTTAGAGCCCAAAGCTGAAAACAGGGAATTCTCAAGTCCTTCTCCTGCCCTGAAGAGATGACTGGAATGAGCCACCAACCTGTTGTGCTCTGGTTTGTCCAGTTACACAACAGGAGCTGGTAGATACCATTTATGCCACTTAAAGCACAGTTGTGGTACTGCACCTGGCTTCCAGCATGCAACACATTGGGAGTACAGTGAAGTTTTAGCAGGTACTTAAAATTCCTCAGGTGAGGCATTTATGATTAAGAAGCCAGAAACTTATGAGAAGCCCACGTAAGGCAAGAATGATGCTTCTGACACACGGCATATGTTTTGTCCACAATCTCCAATACAGGGGCTCTGGAAAAAACCCAACCACTGTGCCAGCACAGCTCCTCACTTCTTACCATGCTAAACGTAGTCTGTTTGCCTCGAGAGAAATGCAGTTCTGGCCTCAGCAGCACACTAAACTTATTAAATTTAGAAACAATACAGCTTGAATAGTTGGGTTTTTTTTTTTGCAGTGTTGGGTGCAGAAACATAAACAGTCCTAAAGCAGAATCATCTTTCAAAAAGAGAGAAAAAAAGTGGTCTACTATAAAAGAGTGTAAAGAGCTGGAAAAATGGCCTTTTTCCTTCTGCTCTTTAGATCTACTTGTAGGATTTTCTCCTCCTCCCCCCAGCCCATTAGGACTATTTGCTCTCATACATTCTCACACTCACTCTGCCTCTTCATTGTAGTCTCTGGCAAAATGTCAGAAGGAAGGAAAAGTGACAAGCTTATAAGAAAATGAATACCTCATTCTGTTTGAATATTGCATTAACCCCCAAGCTCTGCTGCTTCATTTGTCAGCTTTTTCAGTGCTCTCCATCTCTGCAGCACCCCTGACCTGGTTGGTCTGATTAGGAATGATCAATGTGCACATTTGCAGAGGAGCTCTTTGCACGCTGCTAGACCCTCGGCCTTCAGTCACTCATGCAGATAATAACGGCAGTTTGAGTCACTTGCCCATAACTCTAAGCTTCATTAAACAGAGGGGATGTCACCGAAAGTCCCTTTAACTGTCTTTTTGTTTTTCTACAAGGAAAAAAATTGACAGTGCTGAGAAATGGGATTTGGGATACAAATAAGGCCCTGGTTTGGGTATTGCACTGGCTGCCTGCAGTCAGCCTGTGCCTTTGTACAGCAGTCCCCTCACTCAGTGAGGCTGGGAGAGGCTGTGCTGATCACCAAACATCACCTGGCAGGCAGCTTTCACAGAAACATGGCTGAGGTCAGGAACAGCTTCAAAAAGAATGGGCTCCTGAACAGAGCAGGCATTAGACAAGACCCTGTCAATCACCACCTCTGCTGCTGGCTGCCACAGTAATGTACCAGAGGGGGTTTTGTCCCTCTAGGTCCTCCTGCACCACTGATAATAAAGAACAGAAATTTCTCCCTCTTCCATTTCAGTGCAGGCAAGTAAGGCAAAACTGTCAGCCTATGAGTCCCAGAAACACTAGGGCACCTACCATGGAGCCCTGAGGTGAAAGATTGTCTTGCCCTAATCCACTGCTATTCAGTGTTCACTTGGTCAGAGAACAGGTTTCACTTGCTGGAAAGAGAAGGATCTGGCAAGGACCTATGTTATCACAGTATACAGAGCCCCAGGCAGCTCCAGGAGCTCCCTGTCTGACCCAACACTTCAGCTGAGTAAAGTTACTACACAGAAAAGATGATATTAACAGAGATATGTGCTCCTAAGACTCAGGCCAGGCTTGCTCCTAGCTCTTCACAGCTTTAAAGGGTCAGATTTCAACCAATACAAATGTTTTGGCACGTTTGAATTTCAGTTTTTAATCAAACTCCATTTTCAGGATAAAAGAAATCCCACCATTGCTCTAGAATTATAGCCATTTTCTAAAAGCCATTTTCTTTCTCAATGCATTTAATCTTCTCATAGTAAATGCACTATTTCCACAAAAGAACAGTCTATGCTATTACACATCTACCCTAAAAAGGAAACTGAAGTCTCATGAAGCATCAAGGGGAAAAAACAGCCTTTCACTAGATCTTTTCCCACAGGAATGAAACCCCAGATCCACAACAACCCCAAACCAATCCTTAGCATGTTCCAAGCCATGCCAGGTATTTCTCTGAAAACTTCTTCACAGAGGTTAAAACCCTCATAACTTCCTATAGAGCACTGAACAAATCACCCCTCTGCTCACTTAGTGGGTCTGAGCAGGGCAACACTTTCCAGCAGAGCCTTAGGACACATTCTGCGTCTTCTTCCTCCCTGTGAATTTCTCCAAGTAGCTCCTTGTACGTACTTCAGCCAAGTGTTGTGCTTGTCCCATTATGGATATTCCATGCACACAGAGAGGCTTCTACTGATTTCAACAGACTTCAGAGCAGGCCCATGTTCTGTCATCTCTGCCAAGAGAGTTACATATTCACTGCAAATAGAAGCAACTTCCTTTGGGAGACTCCTGACCCCAGAGAGAATTTCTCTTGCCTGGTACCACAGACTGCAGAATGAGCCACTGTCCTTAAAACAAACACTCTAATGCTGTGCTTCTCATTAGCCCCAAGCTTTTGTGTCCTTATTCATGGGAAGCCATACCTTGGCTATGGAGCAGTCCTTTCAGTGGTGCCTGACTGAACAGAGCCTCATTTAGATGTGCAGTGGCTGTCTGGCCTGCTGCTCCATTTGCCTCAACTCCAGCAAACTGGAAGAATTATTCCAGCTGAAACAAGACACAGAGAGCATAGGACCAGGCCACAAAGACTTCAGTGAAGGCAACAAGCACATAATAAAGCCACATGAAAACTGATAATTACAAAAGGCTGTTCCTACCATCAGAGTGATGTATTGGAAGAGTTCTCAGCACGGCTTTTCTCCAAATTCAGTTACCCCTCCAGTTCAGCTGATTTCTGTGGTTTGCTGTAATTTTCTTCCTCTCTGTGTACTGACCCCCAGCACCCTCAGCAGAAACACTGCTACGCTAAACCTCCCTCTCCTCATCCTGCTTTCAGGCTAGTGCAGATCATGGTAGAAATCAACATTCACAGAATTGCATAGTGTGGTAACAGCTCCAAGATCAAAAGCACATGGAACCCCTTGATTAGGCAAATCGTTTTATCCTCTTTCTTTTAGGACAAGTCTAGTCTTGGTTGGGAAATACAGCACTGCACACCACCTGAAAACATAACCCCCTTCACATAACCGTATCCCAGACCAGTTCCCAATTTCCTAAGAGCTCTCCAAGGGAGCCATGGCAGGTAACACAGAGAGGAAAGGTGAGAGAAGAGCCCCAGCATCCACCACTGAGGTAAGAGAAGAAATCCAAGTAAAGTTACTTCTGAGAGAACAGCGATATTTATACTAATGTGGTCAGGTATTCCATGCAGACTCAACTAAGCCTGAGCCAAAAACAAGTCTTGCTGTCCAACAAGTCATAGCCTTCACCCTGACAGCAGTCAGGCTGTGTCCCCAGAGATTTTAATCCAGAAACATGCTACAGTTTGGCAATCTGGATCCTACTGGGTGATTGATTGTCCAAGTTGCCCCCAAAGGCCATTCAACTTTTACGGAAAGGAGAGGGGTGTGGGAGAAAAGGAATGCTGGACACATACACAGAGAAACAAAACAAAAAGGAAAAGGCCATAAATGTAACATGCTGGTGCTGTTGAATGGAAGGCAGCCTGAATATGCAACGGAAGTACAGCCTGAACTCCAACACCTGCTGGATGTAATGGACTCTGAAGTGTTGTTTCAGAATTAATCAAGTCATTTAAAATCATAGTCTCCACTACGCCCGTGCATAAATGCGCTGATCCCGATACTAATCCATGTCGGGTGACTTGAGCAATATATCACCATAATTGCCATTTTAGGGCTGCAAATTGGAGCTAAAACAACCAGATGCAAAAGAGATGGCCATATCATACTCTTAAGATGGATCTTCAAAGTTCAAGGAGAGTTCAAGCATGGAAGAGGCAATACAGAGGGGTCAAGTGTAAGGAGATTGTTCATGTTCAAGAGGAATTAACTTTACAAATATATTGTTTCTGATGTGGTAATTGTGCCATCTTACAGCTATTCATACCTCCATGAATCTTTGCATTCTTCTCAGCTATTAGAGTGATTGTTCCTCCTTGAAATAAAACTGATTCTGACAAAATACCCTGCTTTAAAACTACAACTAATTCCCGCAAGATTTTCTGCTTTAAGACAATTCTCTCTGAAACCACAGAGCCTAGACCCGGCTACAAGATCTTCAGACTGCAGGCTGGGGATCCACATACCAGGCTGAAGTACTCAGACTGCTGACTCATTTTATTACAATTAACAAAGACAGAGCTTGAGATCTCATCAAAAATAATGTGAAGAGTGATATTCTCACTCAAAATAATGCAGTGGGTGTATCTTAGTGTGGAAGCTGCAAAATATCTAAACACTTCAGGTACCATGGATTTTAAGGTTACCAGCATGGAAGTATCTCCTAGCATTCAAGGATATTATTTCCCATATCACTTGACAAATGAAAGTTCACATAAACAGAAAAGTCAGTGGTTCTCTGAAGAAATCAACCAACAGACAAGGAGCATTCAAGGAACTGTAACAAATAGTACTGCTTCATTTTGCTGAGCCTTACAACAAAGTGTCTCTGCAGCACAATAACCATACCTGCCATCAGCAAACAGTAGTCCTACCACACCTTTTCAGCCCTGTAAGATCAAACCTAAAGGCATTTGAATAAGCTGCAGGGCAAGTCCATAAGCAAGTTTTAAGCTGTCCATCAGCACTAGTTTAAGCAATGTCCTTATTTGATATGTTTCTCTGTTTCAGAAGTCAGATGAAACCATTAATTACGTGTTCCTTTTCCTATCTTCAAATTGCACTATTAAAGTACAATTTCAGCTTATTGTTGAACTACCACCAGACCTAGAAATTACTGTTGTCATCTAATAAGTCATCTGCACAGGGAGAGAAAAAACACACATACTATTATTTCTATGCAGCTGGGTCCTAAGAGTCTCCCTGCAAAGCCGTGATTTCAACTAGCTCCTGCTACAACTCCAGCAGACAAAGCGACAGTTTTTCAGCCAGTGTAAATCAGCACAGCACCATTGTGCTTCACAGGGCGACGATAATTCATCCTGGTGAGGATCTGGTGAACTGAGTACCTCTGAACAATGGCATTACAGAAAGCTAATGTGCTATGGGTTACTTGATAATTTCTGTAGCATAATTGGCCAACATGGAAACGCTAGAAATGATTTAAGTTTATAACTAATTGCAACCATTACCAAGACAGCATTATTTATGATCAACTGCATACAGTAGTCCTGATTCTGATTTCACTCACATCTCATTCCAGGCAGTTTTTTGACAGGCAGCTGCTGATGCTTCCTGTGTTTTGGAAGAGGACAGCCCTCGTGGCTACAGCTGTGGTTTCAGCATATGAATTTCTGCATCACACTGAGAACATCTTCAGTGCTTGAACTCTAGGCAGAGTGGAAAAACCACTGTGTTTAAAGTGATTTCCCTGTGGGCAGAACTCTGCTAGCCCACCCACTGGGTCACTGCCCCCCTGGTGCTTTAGGCAGCCCAGTGACTTGTCTGTTGACTCCCATATTTGCACGGCTGTCAGATAAGGTGGGGCTGCTGCAGCCTTATTTGACAGTTTCAGCACTGGAATTACCTGTATCTCAAATATTCAAGTGCTTCTTTGTATGGAACTGGAAGAGAGCAGGTTGCCTCAAAAAGCTTACACTGCATTTATTGTCCAAAATAAATGGCTTGAATTTCCAATTTTCCTCCACCGGTCTGACCACTGACTCATAATGGGAACTTTTGGAAGCTGGTTTCTCTTGGAAGTCTGCTTTCAACTCAGCTTAGAAACCTGGCTGGCAGGAAGACAGCTCACAGAATCATTACCTAAGTAACTGTGGAACATCCTAAACAGAGAGAAAAATCAATACGAATTCAACTTGTACTCCCCTGAACGCAGACACATGCACACTCAAATATATACAGATACAAAATATATGAAAATCAAGTCTCCTAAACAGTCCCACACTCATTAAAAGTTTGACACAGCCAAGCCAGAGACTGGAATCTTTTCTGCAGAATGAGCAGTTCCATATCTTTATTTTCTTGAGAACCCTTGCCTAAAAATAATCATCTGCAAATTGCAATTTTTTTCCACCTTTCATAAATATCAGCCATAGTGCAGCCCTCTCTCCCCCTCTCTTTTTCTTATTCAGGATATCAGGCAGATATGAGTTATCAGTAAAGGTCATCCTCAATTTCTGTACAGAAATGATCTGTCTCCAGTATGTAATAAACATTTATCCATGCCTTTATTAGCTATATTGAATCTGACAGTTCTGTTAAACCATTTTCTTTCATTTTGCTAGGTCATGACGGTTAATGCTGCTAAAAAATCTCATCACTGCTTTTGATCACTGCATTGTCTTTTTGGTATTATCAAGATTTTGTAAAGGTAAGCACTGGTTGGAATGACCTATTAAAGTTACAGCCCGTTGAGTTCCTGGCTTTTCTCTCACCACAATAAAAAAGCAGAGGAGTGCAAAGCATAAATTCTACTTTCGGGTTATATTTAGTTGTGCAGTTGTGATTCAGTAGAGCAGTCACTTTAAGCCCACTTTGCATTGGTTTCGCTTCATCTTTTTCACATCCTTGAGTTTCTGAAACGGGCTGGAAGCCACACCATGGCAAATGAGCCCAAATAGTGGGACCCAGAGGTGATGTCCCAGTGAACCCCTACCCTGCCAGCAGCGCCTTAGGCATCTGCTGGGGATTTGAAAACAATTCCATGATTTACAAAGCAGACTCCACACGCAGACTGAGAAACATTTAAGGGATTTCCAGTCATTCTCACATGCTCACAGAATCATAGAATCACAGACTGGTTTGGGTTGGAAAGGACCTTAAGATCATCCAATTCCAATTCCCTGCCACAAGCAGGGACATCGCATACTAGAGCACGTTGCCCAAGGTTCTGTCCAGCCTGGCCTTGAACACTGCCAGGGATGGAGCATTCACCACTTCTTTGGGCAATTTGTGCCTCACCACCCTCACAGCAGCAGCATGTAATCCAAACCCCACTGGAAGACACTCACAAAACTATGTCAGATTTGCTGCATTCTCCTCTCCCTTCACACCAGTCTATGTTTCAAGCACTAGGACAGATTTGCTTCTAGCTTAATGTAATCTGGTTGCATCTGAGCCTAGGGTGCCTTTCTTCATCCTTTGCACATTGCCTTCCCTTGATGCTTCCACCAAATTCATTACTATGGTGTCTAAGTACATGGAATGTTTTTCAAACTCACTGTTGTCTAGAATTACTTCGGGGGGGGTGGAGGTAAATCAAACAGAAATCCCTTAGTAAGCCTTATTGAATTCCTCTTGCATTCTCTCACTCTACAGTGAGATCAACCGTCATAATTTTCACTGCTACAGGATCAAACCACTGGTCCCCTGACCCAAGAGACCAACCTGTACCCCAATTTACATGCTATGAGCAGTATAAAGCACCAATTTAACATAGTCTTGTGTCCCTCATCAGTATACAGCAAGTTTTCCCCTCAGAAGTCACTTGCAAGGGAATGCAACTAACCTCCAACACACCTGCACAAGTCTCATTTGCAATGCAACCCTGACAGTCTCCGTGGGGAGTTTAATATAAGTTCAGTCTGCTGTTTTATGCTGTGAGGCTGTGGCAACTGACAAGCTAGTGCTGAGCAGAGGTCCCTTCAACCTGCTATCCTGCCAGCCACAGTAGCCAGCCAGAAACAGCAGGTTCTGCTGTGATGGTTTGCAAGAGAAACCTGGCTGCAGGAGGAATGCCTTCCTTATCCCCATCAAGTTGTGAAGAGTTCACACAGAGTAAAATAAATAAATACATAAAAATCCACTCTCCTGACCATAGAACTGCAGAACTGGGCAGTCTGTCACAGACAGCCACAGTGACTTTCTTGAAGCAACATTCAATATCCATAGCTAAAAATCTACTTCCTGCCTCAAGCCATTTTCAGTTTCAGACAGTAACAAAGGGCGCAAGGTCAGTGGTACAGAAGGGCTTATTATCTATTCCTGTAAGCAATATGCTGCTTCTCAATTTCCTCAAGCATTCCTTTCTTTGGCAGCAACAACCTACCCCCTTCTCTTTTTCCAGCTGTACCTATCTATGGCTTCACTGACTTCCAAAGGCAAACAGGGATAGGCAAACATGGCAACTCACAAGAACAAACTGCAAAACATTTTCTTAGTCTTCATGACAACAGGCATATCAAAAAGACAAATCTCTGCAAGTGCTTCTCCACATGGTCTCCATCACCCCATGTCCTGCAAGCCCATGTTCATCACGGTCAGTGTGATCTACTCTTCTCACAAAGGTAGCAGAAGTCCTACCTTTGTGATAAAAAAGGATGGCAATCTTGTAGTGACAGAGGCTGGCGTCCCTGCTCCTAGGACACTGATAAGCCCTGTGGAAATGCAAGAATTCCCTACCCTGGCTTTCTGCATGCCAAAAATCCCACAATTTTGAACAAAAGAAGATCAAGGGTGCTAACCCCGATGCCCCAGCTAACTTAACCCAAACCTTGCTCCCAGTACCCACTCTGGGAGAAAGAGGCCTTTCTTTCTTGTTTCTAAATGGCCACCCAGCATAAGTATCTCCCCATAATAATTCATGAACAGGCTTCAAATGGTGCAGGCTTGGAAGAGGAGGTTGTCTCAGACATGATAATCCTTTTCACCAGCCCAAGTTAGAAATGCAGACAATAGATACACAGACCAATAGATGCACTCTGACCTTGATGTTTCAGACCACCACGCTGTTAAACAAGAGGCAGGACCCCTGTGGTCATGGGAATCTCCAGCATGTGTTTAAAACTGCAACACTATATTTCTTGGTGAACTTTGCCTAAACTATCTTTAACATTTTGCAGGGACATATCTACTTGCAAAATGTTATGCACTCTGTATATGCACAGACATGCACGCAAAGTATAAGGTGAGGAAGAGAAAGAGGTAACTCCCCGTAACAGCTTTTAAATGGCCAGCTGGCGGCAGCTACTGCCTGCAATTCTTCACGTATCACCCCTGCTCCTTTAGTTCAGTTGATCAATAAAAATTGCTATTGAGCCTTCTGATACTCTAAACAGGTAAATCAATGCCCTAATGAAGACAGCGGTTTTGTCCCAGGGCTCTGTTTCCTTGGTATTCTACTTAAAAGCAACAAACAGGTTTCTGAGAGCTGGAAATGACTGAGCTGTTGCTTCACGTGCTACAGAGAATTCACCTCAGGTAGCCAGCTTTGACAGGCTTAGCTCCCTCTCTGCACACTTCCTCCTCGGCACATCAGAGCAGGACTTCAAGTGGATATAGAGCTAATTGGTTTCAAAGGGCCTGTCTTCCAGGAAGATGGGAGTCCTGATGTCTGACTCCTGTAGGAGCCAGCACATTTGTACAAAGAAGCATGAACATCCGTTAAAATCACCTAATTGACCAATTTGCCAAGCTATTTGTCTTTAAAATGAGACATTTAACATGTCCTGCTATATGCTGATGTATTTCAGTAGCCCAGAATAAACACAGCCTAAAAACTAAACCTCATACCCAGATAATGCAGCTGGGAGTTAATGATTACAATATGTGACACTTCAAATACACCAAGTCAATGACATTTACCTAATCTGTCTTCCCTATTTTTTGCTAAGCAGGTTGGCAAAAGAAGAAAAATGGTTCATCTACTAAGAAGTTGAACACAACCTTGAAATAAATCACATTCGAAAACTAGAAGCCTGGCACAGTTTAATAGTTAAATCATTTTTTTCCTAGGCTAAAAAAGAAATAAAATAAAATTTAAAAAAAACCCTGCCCTGAAGTCATTATCAGCATGATCCTCTATTTGAAGTCTTGCAAAATGTTCAACGAATGGCCCTTGTGGTTTGGCCAAAAGGAAACAACATGCTCAGTGGCTCTTTGCAGGCCCAAGAATATGGAGACTCCCAGTATGAGAATATTAAATTATTATGGCTCCTGCAACAGGGAGCACAATTGTTAGTGCCCCATTCCTCTGATGACCAAGCTCTGTTCCTCCCTGATGGGAGCACTCATTGTCCTACCTAATATTTGCATGCTTTGATAATAAGAATATTGTCAAGATAATAGCAGGGAAGTTTCAGTTGAAACTCAATTTTCCCAAGCCAGCTGTGCATGGCCCCAGTCACGTTTTCTATGAAGATGCCTTCAAAATGCAAAATTAAGCCTTGCTCCTGAGGAAAAGAAAAAGAAATTATCCTTCTCCCCATAAGAAGAAGAAAGGAAAGAAGGGTTACTGAACAAGAGCAGGATGAAAACCACTTCCTGGAGAAATTATTTTTACATGAGTTTAAACTTCTTTTTGTTCTCCAAAGCATTTTGATCAGTGCAAGCAAATAAAACTGAAAACAGAAGAGCAGGTCTTAAATCACAGAATTAATTACTTTTGTGAGCTTTATTGATTGCAGTGATCTAGCTGAAAGAATCTGGGGGCTGTCCTCTCTCATCCACCTTCCTGCATGACACAACCATTCACCAGCTCAAATGAGGTGGGATATAATGTGTTTTTTGGAAAGAATAGTACTATTGTTGAAGTCCAAAAAATCTGTATTTCTTTGGGTTTTGGCAAACTTGCTTCTTTGTCCACTCCAAATAATAGCTTAAAAAAAGAAAGGGAAAAGAAAAAGGTGCACTCCCTCTCCCCTTTTGCCCTTTATCCCTATTTCAGACTATGTCATTTTGAGTTATCACGGATGAGGGACTTTTAAACACTTGTGAAAAAGCCCTGCAAGGGCAAACGTCATGGGCTGAGCCCTTGTCGGACAAGAAGCTGTACCTCTGGCCATATGGCTACCCAGAACCTCAGAGACTCTGCTGTCTTCCTGCCTCTCTTTAGTGCTTTTTGCTTACTTTGGCCTTGTTTCACACTTCAAATAGCCTTTTTATAAAGGCATCTGAATTAAAGTATTTTTCCAAGTGCAATACACTCCTCCCCAGTTCAGTTGAGACACAGATATTTGTTTCTGGGTTCAGGAACTTTCTTTCTGTGAATGGACTGCACTTAGACATGCTGGTCTGCAGTAACATCAGCACCAAAGCCCTTTTCACTCAACAGAAGAGGATCAGAGTCCAAACCAGCCTCCCACTAGGACACTGAGGAACAAAAACCCATCTCAAGCCAAGCCAACTATCACCTTCCCTTGCTGACATTTATGCAATTCAAACAGGTCTGTACAGTCCTTTAGCACAACTAAATTCACAGAGTGCACCTCAGGCAGTCCAAAACAGAGGTGACTGAATTCCACCACACTTCAGGTCATTTGTACTGAGCAGGGAGTGCTCATGATGTCGTCTAGATTCTGACCCTTTGTAGGGAAGAGAAGACCAACTTCAACTAGTGGGCCTGCCAGCAGAAATCCATTCACTGAGCCCCTCAGATATTTTTCCTACTGCACAGCAGAAAGCAGACTTTACAGGACAAATGCCTGTGGTGTGCTCCATTCTTTGCACATGTCTCAACCATCAAGCAGCTTCAAGGTGGGGTGTCCTACCTGGGAGGTTTTGGACACCCCATGGCTTTATCTGTTTCTGGCCCATGTAGGCTGCCGAGAGGGTCAGATGCAGTTAGAATGCAAGCACAGAAAACTTATCTGCTTTTTTCACATGAAAAGGGGGATGTGTCTCTTCACTGCCTTGTGCCCTGTTGAGTTATTTATATAGCAAGAGTGAAATGAGCATAAATTACTAACAAGTGAAATGCATTCACTGACTCACGCTTGCAGTGCAGTGCTGTCTGAGCAGGAATAATCACAGGAGGTGTAGCACAGAACAAGAGCAAAATCATTCAGGATTGCTTAGGCAAAGCTGGAGCCTCAGGCAGGACTCCCTGGAAAGGCATGTTCTAGAAGGCTGTTTCCCTCAGCAGCCACAAAGCTTCTGGGGGAGTGGCAATCTGTAAAAGAAATCAGCGAAGAGCAGAGATGTTAGATGACTTGATACTCCTAAAATAAGTACTAAAATAAGAATGGCAAGTCATGCCCTCACTTCTGCCAGTACTGCCTTCTTCAGAGAGGTTTGAAGAACACATCACAGTTCTCATCATTCATTCTTTCCTTTCACTGACCTATGCAGACAATGGTATCCCACCACCATCTCCCCCATCAGAAGACAACAAAAAGACAACAAAACCATTTTTAAATGCTTTCAAGTACACCCCATAATACTTGCCTGATAGAGACAGACATATACTTACGCAAACATTGTCTCAGCCACACAAAAAGGGCTAGTCCCAGGCAATCAGCTGCACGCTCACCTGTTTCTGCCAGCCAGTGCATCTTGGTGTGCCATACATAAAGCTATTTCTTTGTTTCATCTTCTGCTAAATTACCCATTAGCAGCAAAAGAAATCAGAAGCCTGTTCAAAGAATACATATGTGCAATAGCAACAGCACCACTACAGCATCACTCTCTTTCACTAAGCCTAACTGAGGTATGGCTCCAAAGGGCTGGGAATAAGGAGCTGACAGAAGGCAAATGTATTGCACATAGCTAGAAACACACAAAAGTGCACATACATGCAAACACCTATACATGCTGTGGAAGAAAAAGAATGTTCCAGAGTAGTCAGCTTACTTGCAATGGCAATTAAGCATCCACCAGCACACACAAATTAAAGGGAGACCCTGTGGCCTGAAATTGTTATTTCTGTATGATGCTGTCCCCGTTGTTTGGATTCTCTGGAGTGCCATCAGTGTAAAAGATAGCAGCAAACCAGGTCTAATTCACCATATTTAACACAGTGAAACTTGTCAACATGGAACTTCTTTTATGCTGCATAAAGAGGGACACTTGATTTGCTCTTTGTCTTGCAGTGAGAAAAGTCTGAACTTAGATTAATTACCAGCTCTTGACAGGGGGGAAATCAGAAGCATCTTCAGTGTCAGGTGAGAGTCCAGCCTCCCGCAAGAGGCCAAGAGCTGCACCAAGAGCCAGCACGAGAGGCAGCAGTCTCAGCTCAAGTCGAGAGAGTGGCAACAGCCTGGACTCCCTGACAACTTTATCTCTCCCCCTGGGCCCATGCTCCTGCGATTCAGCTTTGAATCCCTGATGTGCCACTTGCTTGCCCTCTAGGATCTAACATGTTGACATCATCATGCCTCTCAGAAGGAAATCTGTCAGAGCAGCATGAAGAAGAAATTAAAACGGTAGAAAGCAAGAAAAAAAAAAAAAAAAAGGAGTTCTGGATATATATATATATGGCATATAGGATTAGAGGGTTTTCCTAGCATTTTTTTAGCCTTGGACAAATAATGGAGCAAAGACTTTGCTGGGAGCTGCTCAGTGAGAAAGGCCAATGTTAGGACTCTTGGCCCCAACAGAAGCTTATCCTCAAGTGAGCTGATCTGTTCCTTTGAGAGGGGCAGTATGGGACAGAGGAGGAGAGGGGGAAGGGGGGTGGAAGCTTTTCTTTACACTCGTGCTGTTCTGAATGTGGACCATCTGTGCCCCCAGCTGGAGTGCTGGAGATGGTCTGGCACTTGAACCACACCATATTTACAGATCTAAACACAAATGGCTATTGCCTGATTGTTTCATGATTCATTAGTCAGACAAGCTCTCCTCTCCCGCCAGCACAGCTGTTACAGAGTAAACCTTTGTCACTTAATAGGCCTGATTATTACTTTCCATCAAAGGTATTGATCTGTGTCATCTCTACTTAAGGGAAAAGGAGAGAAGTGAAAAAAGGACCAAAAGGTGTCGGGAAAACAAGAAGGGGGGGAGAATTAAAAAAGAATGACATTTGCGTGGTGACTAGAGGAACCGGTCAATACATTTAATCTCTTTTGGATGTACTGTATTCATGTATTCATTTACGAGTGACTAGGTTACTCATGGAGATGAAGCGTCTCACATGATGTGGCATTCCTTGCACTGCACCAGACTGCTACAGTCACACAATATGGCCATGCATATAATTGGTCGGCCAAATACACAATGTGAATTAACAAATAGTATTTAGGAAAAAAATAGAAATCAATTAAGTCACGCAGCAGAAGGTACAAATACAGGTTCATCTCGAAATGGCATGAGATGAGATGAAGAGATTGATGGCAAGATTTCAGAGAAGCAGGCCAGACTTCAGCCCTCGTGCATCCAAGTCACCAGCACTACCCCAGTTACACCAGCAAGGAGCTGGCTCTCTTTGTTTAGCAAAGGAGCTGGGGATAGGACGTAGTGTGTTAGAGAATTGCGATGCAGAGTTTATTTACCACAGCTTGAGAGCTCTTGTTGCTCCAGCAGCCGTCTGACAAGCTGCCATTGCAGCAATTGCAGTGTTATTGCAAATTCACTCACTCCATCGGCACGACGAGGTTTGCCACATCCAGACTGAGAGTTTCACTGCCTCTCTGACCCACAAAGCCATTACTAGTGGCATTATTACTTTTTCCCTGCTGCATTTGAGGTGGTACCTGATACCCACCATTCCAGTGACCAGGTAGACAGCTCGTAGTCACAGATGTGGCTCTGGTGGCAGCAGGGAGAAAGCTCTTGAGGAAAGTTGGCTTCACTCTTTGTGTTTTTCTCATGTCAAAGGCATCACCTCTCCTGAAGCCAAATCTCAAAGCCCTTGTCCAGTTCTCCTTCAGAATAAACAGCAACAAAGTTCTGGGAACTAGGGGAGAAAAAAGAAACCACAGCAGAAACTGCTTAGCTTGCATGGACACAGCACAACAGTGCAGCTACTCAGGCTACCAAAATTTATAGCAGTCTGTACATACAAGGAGCTTTTCCTCAAACCAAGACTTGCATTTTCAATGCAAAGAGGCCAGTAAGATGTCACACAGGGAATACCACTCATTTTAGGGAAAGCACTGTTGAGAGAAGGAAGAATGGAAACCTAAGCAGTAGTGTAGAAGACCTGTCAGAGCGCTTGGGTTTCCCCTGAGGTCAGCTTGCCCACAGGGCCATACCTGCCATGTTCAGCCCAGGCATGCAGAGTGCAGTGACAGATGCCAGCCCAGCAGGTCACTGCACAGGGAAGCAATTGATGCTTATGTGTAGCTATGTCATGGAACGTTCTTTTACAGTCCATCTTTCACCCAAAGCTCTGAAACAGACCAAAACACATATGCTTTTCTGACTAAGGCTGTGCCCCACAGCAAACCTGGTCCCTCCACCTTAGTATTTGCCGCCAAGACCCCATTTCTACCCACTCACTCGCCCATCCCGAGGCATACACTGTTTCACTGGATGGAAAGAAAAGTTCAAAGACTGCAGCACATGACACCAAGCAAGAGTTATGGCACACACAACCCATGGGAAAGTGTTGCTTGGCAATACAGCGTGTGCATAGCTCCCCGCCAAGGGACCGGCATTGTCTCTGTGCCAGGAAATCAGCCATTCAGCTAACAGGCAAAGCAGTGGCCACAGAAGATGGAGAAGCAGAAGGGAGCCGTCAAACCCAGGAGACATGCTAGCTCTCTTTCGTTCATGTGCTACAACAAATAGCAGGGGGGTAAGGGGTGGGTGTGGGGAGTGAGGAACCAGAGAAAAGCGTAAATTTTAGCTTAAGCCATTTATTTTTCTAATGCATCAAGGATGAAAACTGCTTAGTCAGTGCTTGAGGAGGGACCAAAACCAACATACTGAAATGATATCTTAGAGCTTAAGTTATGAGCGAAAACATTCCCATTTATGAGCTTTCTTGGAATGAAAAAGGGTGACATTTTGTCACTGAATCATTTAGAAGTAGACTGAGTAAACCAGCCAGGAACAGGCTGTTAAGAACAATCCTGCAGTATGCAGGTCTTTGCCATTGTTGATGCTACATTTTCTTCCCTTGGAGAAGATGTCTGATTCTGGTAGTTGATGACAAGACTAGAGCAAGCCAGCAAGGGAGAAGAAAGACACATACACACAAAAAGAACAAACCCCTGTTCAAGTAGCTCTCAAATAAAGCCGTAGCTTTCCAAAATCTGTCCTTTCCAGACTCTGCTGAGAGTAGGGTTTTATTAGTGGTTCATAGAAATGGGTTATTCTTGGGATGGACATGCTGCTCATCAGCTTCACTATCCTTTTTGACAAGGCACTGCTGAAACACACCAAACTGTCTTCCTGTTCAGAAGCAACTGCACATAAGCCCAACATTGCACCAGTTTAGCCCAGTAAGACTCTGGATAGATGGCATTACCAGCAACACCTCTTCTACTTCACAGCAAAACTCCAATAGAAAACCCCTCTGACAGCCTTGACAGGCACAGGAGGTCTAAGGCACTGATGACACAACCCACCTACCTGCCAAAAGCATGGCTCTGACTTCTCTGACTGAAAGAAACTCAACTGCAGTGTTTTTCTCTCACTTGTGCCTCCATCTCTGTGCTCAAAATAAAGCTGAATTAATTCACATTAAAGTGAAGTGAGGTTTAACATGAAGTGGAGGTTTAGCAGGTCAGATCCAATGGTGTCAACCAACATAGCTCTGCTGAATCTGAAGGACCTGCTTTGCCCACGCGTGTACCAATGGGAAGACCCTCCCTTTGAAGAACAGCACAGTGTCTTGACTCTGGGTTGCGTAAGTGTCTGCAGCCTGAAGACAAGGGCCAACAATTCTCAACTTGCCCTGGGCCTGTATGGGATTAATAGCCATAAAACTCCTTGTGACTAGTGATGAGAGGGTAAAGCAGAAGCAAAGATTTCTCATTTCACCTTCCAATCTTAGCTGTGGAGCTGCAGGAGGATGGCGAGGTTGCAGCCACATCTGACCAAGTCCATCCTCATCCATACAACCCTCATTTTCATACAAATATACTTGCTGCAGCTGGTATCAATTGCAGCAGCTCTGTGTCAGGTTCCTCCTGCAAGCCTCGTGAAGTACTGTACCTGCGACGGAATTGTGTGGTCAGCTGAAGACATCTTCCCTGGGAGGGGAGGCGGCAAAGGGAAACAAAAAAAAAAAGGAAAGCTTCAGATTGATTAAGGTTTTGAGTTACAGGGGGCTATTGATTTTTCATTAAACACCATGTACTGCTGTAAAGCGGAGAAAAAGTAATTCATTGATCAGAGCTGTGGGCCATGTTCACTTATTGGCTTCCTGCCACATCCCATTATTCCCAGTTCTAAATTGTATATTGAAGTCAGTTCATTCTAATCATTGCCTCCTGTCACCAGCAATGTCTCTCAATAACTATTAGTTTAATCACCCCTTTCTTACAATGGTAATGAGTGATAATATCCAGCATTATGGGGGATTCATGAATATTAGTCATGGCATTACAGCATTGCATTTACAATGCTACAGTTAAGGGTCTGTCAGCATTTCCATTACAAAGCCCCCAGGCCTGAGACTTTATAAATCACTCCTAAAAATTTGCTGCTCGCAGAAATAAGGAGCGGAGGGTGTTTGGGTTCTGGAGAGAATATTGTTGGGAACTGCTCTCTGCAAAATCTTTCTGACCATGGTTTCACTGCACTAAAAGAGTGCTGGAAAGGGGAGAAAAAATGGGGGAGAAAGAAGAGGAACTTTGCCAGTTCAAGCTGCTTTTTCCAATTGATTAAAATGCCATCATTTCAAAAACAGGATGATCTTGCTGTTAGGTTGGACAGCGATTCAGGAGACAGGCAGTCTCTTCCTGAAGCTGACATACAGAGGCAGCATTACCATGCTCTCCTATCAATAGCAACACTTGAAATTTAAGAATATTTTAGCTGAGACCTCTTGCCTTCTGCAGGATGCTTTCCTCTGTGCTGGCTATTGGATTCAGTGTTTGGTAATTTGCATTTTGAGCAGGTTGCTTGCTGCAGGGACAAGAATTGAAATACTCAGACTTCACGTAACACCTGCTTAGGTAAAACCTCAGCCTGGGGACAACAGCTTTAGTAAGAAGTTTGTATCTGATTGCAGAATCCAGCCTGAAGGTGTAGAGGGAAAT